GGGAAAGAGGGAATATGATACACAGAGAAGTCCTGGAGGAAACTGGAAAGGAGAGGCAATCAGCTGCCAAAGGGTTGACCTTGTAAAGGAAGAGTGATACTTCTTCCTTTGAGTCCAAAAGGAAGGAGTAAAAGTGAGAGAAATTTTTGAGAGATGAATCCAGTGTGAAGACAGAGAGGAAAGATTAAGAGGTTCACAGGCATGGCCTCAGTCTCATAAAAATAGAAGGGAAGGGCATACCGCAGAGATGGAAGAGATGGGAACAGGTGGAATGGCATGATGAGTGTGGAAAAGTTTGAAGAGTCACCTTGAGGGATGTGACAGGGAGCCAATAAAAGACAAAGCATCACTGGGCTGCACTGATTGCCGGGCAATGAGGTCAGTCAGGGAATCTGGGGTTCAGTCAGCAGGTTCCGGTGAATTTTTTTTTTCAGTAATACTCCTGGGCCCAGGTGTGAAAAAAAGAAGATGGGGGTGGGGTGGGGAGGTGGGCAGGGATCAACGACTCTGGTTTGGAAACTGGGCAGCAGGTAGGCAGGCAAGGGCAGAATTGAGTAGTCTAGGCTGGGGAAGGAGTCAGATAAGACCAAAAGGGGTCCAGGGACTTGAGGCTAGAAAGGTGAGGTCGTGGGAGAGGTGAGAGAGCGGTGGCTGTGCTCAAATACGGCAGCCCTGAATAATGGAAGCAGAGCCATTTCAAGCGATAAAAGCTACAAATGAGCTCCTGGGGAATGATGGAGTCGAAGGACACAGGAATTGAGGGCAACTGCGAGGGATTGAAGTTAAATGACACAAATGTTGATATTAAAAGAAGCCTAGTATAGTGGAAACAAGTCTAGGCTGGGTTCTGGAGACCTGGGTTCTACTTGCAGTTCTACTAACTGTGCCCACTTTGGGGGAGTGGCTGCCCTTCTCTGGGGTGGAATCAGAAGACTTCTCAAGGCCGTTTCTGCTCTAGACGGTAAGGATTTGGGGATAATAGGAAGGGACGGGTTGACGAGGACGATCCCTCCCGTTGGGCTGCCCTTCTCCCCAGAGGAGCCCGGAACCTTTCTGCTGTGCTTTCTGCCCGGACGTGCCGGAGAGGAGACCGGAAGTCCTTTGCCGGCGGGTTCCGGGTTTCCTGGGCTACTACGATGGCGATGAGTTTCGAGTGGCCGTGGCAGTATCGCTTCCCGCCCTTCTTTACGTGAGGCTCAGACCCCGAGAAGCCCCGCTGGGCCTCCCTCCCCTCCCTAGGACCCCGGGCTCAGCACTGATGCTTCAAATGGGGAGGGGGAGAACGGATCCGGTCGCCGCCACCCTCAGTCCCTCACTTTCTCCCCCGAACGCGCCTCTGGCAAGTGCTGCCGCTCTCCCTCTCACTTCTCTAATTCTGCGCCCCACCCGCTTCACCCGGCAGGTTGCAGCCGAACGTGGACACTCGGCAGAAGCAGCTGGCCGCCTGGTGCTCGCTAGTCCTGTCCTTCTGTCGCCTGCACAAACGGTCCAGCATGACGGTGATGGAAGCTCAGGAGAGCCCGCTCTTCAACAACGTGAAGCTACAGCGTATCCTCCCTCAGCCTCTTCCACACCCCGCACACATGCACTTCCACACTTTCCCACATGCCCAGACTTCACACTCCTCTTCACCCACAGAAGGCAGGTTCCAACCCCAACTGGCCTGGGGAAAGAGCCAGACTGTGTAGCTGACATCCATTTTACTTTCAGCTCCAACCCAAATGTAGCACCAAGCCCTCTTGTCCACGGCAGTGATGAGTACCCAGCTGTCGTTCAGATTTTAGAATTTCTGCCCTGAAGCCAAGTACCAAGTTTTTCAACCTGAGCCTTTTTGACTCGTTGAAACTTCTCTCCTCTGTATGAGGCTCAAACTCTGGCATTACCTTTAGTAATTTTCTCTGCCTAGTCTCCTTGTCCCAGGAAGTAAGTGTTGTTTTTCTTTTGCTGCCTGATTCATCCCTAAACTATCTAGAGGATGGCTGGAGGAAGGAGAGAGGACAGAGGGTGAGAAATGATAGTACCTTTCATTCAATAAAGCTCTTTCCTTTTTTTTTTGCGGTACGCGGGCCTCTCACTGTTGTGGCCTCTCCCGTGGCGGAGCATGGGCTCCGGACGCGCAGGCTTAGCGGCCATGGCTCACGAGCCCAGCCGCTCCGCGGCATGTGGGATCTTCCCAGACCGGGGCACGAACCCGCGAACCCGCGTCCCCTGCATCGGCAGGCGGACTCTCAACCACTGCGCCACCAGGGAAGCCCCTAAAGCTCTTCCTTTTAATTACACTAGTTTCTCTTTACCTTCGTCCCCCCAATATGCAGAAAATGCCAGTTTATATCCTGTTGGGGCATTGCACATCTATGTGTGTAGGTGGGAGAGGGGTAGTTTGTAGCATAACCCTGGCTCTGAGAAATTTTATCCCACCCAGTTCATTCCATTAATACCATTCCCTTAACCTTAAACCAGGGAAGCTGCCCGTGGAATCAATCCAGGTTGTATTAGAGGAACTGAGGAAGAAAGGTGGGTTCAGTTCCCCAGATTCCTTATTATTCATCCTAGTTGGGTTTTCCTGAGGGCAGATTAGCACAAGTCTTTTCATTTTTTTTAACCTTTCAGTGGCTTTTTTTTTTTAATTAATTAATTTTTATTTTTGGCTGCGTTGAGTCTTTGTTGCTGCGTGCAGGCTTTCTCTAGTTGTGGCGAGCAGGGGCTACTCTTCATTGCGGTGTGCGGGCTTCTCGTTGCGGTGGCTTCTCTTGTTGCAGAGCACGGGCTCTAGGTGCGCGGGCTTCAGTGGTTGTGGCTCGCGGGCTTTGTTGCTCGGGGCACGAACCCGTGTCCCCTGCATTGGCAGGCGGATTCTCAGCCACTGTGCCACCAGGGAAGCCCCCACAAGTCTTTTCTTTCACGAACTTTTTTTTTCTTTTTCTCTCCTGGCTTGGAGCCCAGAGTGTTCTGTACAGTAGCTCAATTCCCTGGGTTCTTTTCCCCCACTGGTATACAAAATTGAAATCTCTCCATCTGTGCCCCAAGACCTGAAGGGGAGAATGGATGCCTTGCAGATAGTAATAGTAAAACAATTCTTAAATTTCTCTTTCTGAAAGCTGAGTCTCTTACACTCTCTTCCGCCTTGGTTTTTGCCTCATTGTCTCTTCTTAGAGCATGCTGCTTTCATAAGTATCTGTTTTGCAGGGAACCTCGAGTGGTTGGATAAGAACAAGTCTAGCTTCCTGATCATGTGGCGGAGGCCAGAAGAATGGGGGAAGCTCATCTATCAGTGGGTGAGACTATTCTGACGCGGTGACCCATGGCAAAGGAGAATGAATCTGTGCGCAGCAGATGCCTGGTGTTTTCAGATCCAGACTGAGCAGAGTGGGAGGGGGCAGAAAGAGGAAGTGTAGGTCTTCCAGGCAAGCCTCTTTCAATGACTCAATTTCCCTGGCTGGAAAGAACTTTCCTTTTTTTGCCTGTAGGAGGCCAGAGGCTATATGAGGCCATGTTTGAAGAATGCAGTACTGGAAACCACGAGTACTATTGTTGGCTGGAGCCTCTGGCCACAGGAGATAAATGGGGAAAGGAAGGGAAAAAAACACAAAAACCTGGAGCCCCTCCCCCACTACATCCTTATGGGGCTGTCCACAGTATAAATGAGACTTTCTGAACAGTGTGGGTGTGGGGACTGACTCTCTCCCTTGCATTCCCTGTCACCACCAGCCCTAAACATTCCCAGGGGAGAGAGGAGGGGAAGAAGCGTCAACAACCCAAATGTAACAAGCACACACCACCCATTCTTGAACAGGAAAACAACCAGAATGAGAGGTCACTCCTCAGACACGTGAAGGCCTGTGGTTTAGTGGTTCCGAGCGTGTGTGTACATGTATAAATATAGCACCTGTAGGGTTTGTGGGTTTTAGGCCACTCCTCTGCTGAGGTGACAGCTCTGGTCTGGGAACAAGTATCATTCCTGGGTTAGAGAGGTGGAGCTCCTGAGTTTACCTTCTCCCAGGAAATTCCTGGTTCTTATTCAGTCCCTGTTTTCTGTGTCCATAGGTTTCCAGGAGTGGCCAGAACAATTCCGTGTTCACCTTGTACGAACTGACCAATGGGGAAGACACAGAGGATGAGGGTAATGCTTTTTCCCTTTCTCCCCAGTTTTGTTATCTGAATCCTCCTCCGTCTAATTTTTGTTTACTTGACATTCAGATTTCCCATTTTTCTGCCTCTAAATTCCAAATACTAAATAATACAAAGGTTCTTAACCCATGTCCAAGATTTCCATAAACCATCTGAATTCACATGCAGAGAACCCACAGATTTTGTTTGTGGGGGTGTATGTGCATTTTTCTCAGCATAGAGTCCATATTATAAGATTTTGAAGGGCATCTGTGACCCATGAAAAGTTAAGAATTATTGGTAGAGATGCCGAATGAGGAACTAGGGCAGGAGATTAAGCCTGAAATTTCATTCCTTGCTGACTCAGGCTTTCTTTTACCCTTTATTCTTATAGAGGGCTCAAGATCTGTGGGTGTCAGCTGAAGGGATTGGGCCAACACTCCCATCCCCACCCCCTGCCCTTTAGAATACTATGGTTTCTGGCCAGACGAGGATTTGTATACTGTTTGATTTTTACATAGTGTAAATACTCTCTCAGCTCTTTTATCTCTGACTTCATATTCTGATCCCCAGGATCACCAAAAGTACCAATCTGAGCTGGGGAAAAAGGGACATCTCCCCTTTCTGCCAGGCCTGGCTGCCCCAGCAGAGTTTACAGCCCTTGGCTTTACCCCGCCTTTCCTGCAGGCCTCTGCTTGCTACTCCCACCATCATGCCATGACTTCAGTGCTGCAGCCTTGCCCAGCCCACCGCTCAGGCCAGGCAAAGCTGGAGGCTTCCTCAGAAAGCAAGCTCCCTGACTCAAGAGCTGGGCCCCTGCAGGGGGTGAGGTGTGCAAGCCTGTTAGGGCTTGCCTCCTGCCTCTCACATCTCCCTGCAGTATCTTGCCATATCTCCAGATACTCAGGGGGCCCTTGGCTCCCAGCCTTGTTCCTTTTCACTAGGAAAGGGCAGATATCTGTGCTGGACCTTAACAGTCTCCTGGCCAGAGGCATGGCTATACCTCTTTGTGTTAGAACAGGTCCTCCCAATGGGTACAGATGCAGTTAGGGTCAGCGTACAGTGACAAGGGACTTGACCTCCCTACACTTGATTGTCAGGGCCCCTTCTTTGTGGCCCACAAGCAAACGGTGTTACTCTTGTATATCAGACACTAGTGGGCGGGGGGGGGTTAGTGCGAGGGTGCGTGTGGGTTGAGTCTGACAGAAGAAACAGGAAGGGAGAATAAGCATGAACTCCCATTTCATGTTGAGTCAGGCTTTCTTCCACTCCTTACTCCTAAGGAATACCCAGGAAGGGTGGGTGGGGGCAGCTGTAGCAGCACAGCTGGCCTGGAAAGTGCTGTTTCCAGCTGGACTGCTCTTCTCAGAGGTCTTGAGCCCCAAGGAGCTGAGTGTCCCTGACTACACATCTCTCCCTGTCCAGAGTTCCACGGGCTGGATGAGGCAACCCTACTGCGGGCTCTGCAGGCCCTACAGCAGGAGCACAAGGCCGAGATCATCACTGTCAGCGATGGCCGAGGTGTCAAGTTCTTCTAGCAGAAACCTGTCTCCCTTTACTTCTTACTTCCCACCCTTCCAGGGCTTTCAAAGGGAGACAGACCAAGTGTCCCCACAGACTGGATCCGTGACTCCACCAGACTCCAAAGGGCTGCAGTTCAGGGGTGGGTTTCCCACTTATCCCGTGTGTCTGTCCCTGGGATAGGGTGAGGCTGAGGTGCCAGGGAGAAAAGATGTGCTGCTCCCTGCCTCACCTCCTCTCATGAGCTGGGGTCTGTAAACCTAAACACAGACTTCATTTGTGTCACACACGTAAGTACATACACACATGCACCTGCACAAGCTTCAGTTTCTTCCCCCTCCCATCCCTTTAGCTGCTGCTCCCTCCTCTCTCATGCTGCTGGTGCTGGATCTTTCCTAGGGGATGGGCGAAGCCCTGGCTGCAGGCAGCCTTTCAGGCAATGTGAAGATAGGAGGCCCAGGAAGGGGCCTGGCAATGAGAGGTGGGGCCGGACACTGATTTATGATATTAAAAAGCTTAACCCTACTGCCTGCTGCTGAGGTTATTACTGGAGTGGGCAAAGGGAAGGCTGTGAAGTGTTAACCCCCTGAGTGAATCCCAGCCTAGGAGAGGGGAGAGAATGCCTATGGCCTTTGAAAAGGTCCTGTTGTGCTGGCGGGCTCCAGTGAGCCTGTGGTTTTACATCTGCCCGGTGGGCTGTGTGGGGGAGTGCCGATGGCACACAGCAGCTTGGGGACAGACTGCTTTCTGTCTCTAAAATGGAGTAGCTTAACGACTTCCCTCTCCCTCACCATCTCCCTGTGGAAGTCCTGAATTACTCTGAAGCCCCTCCCTCCATCCATCTGCTCTGGGTGGGGTAGTTGAGGCCAAGGGGAGCTGAGGGGGAGTAAACCGGATATGGACTTCGGTTTAGTAGAAACTTTGGCAAACAGAGGGGGAGGAAGGAGAGCCCACAGAGCAAAAACAGCCACTCTGGCCAGGATGCGGTCTAGGTGGGGAGGTGGAGAGGATGGGTGACCTGGTCCTTGGTTTGGGGGAGGGGCTTGTTTTGGGGTGCACACACCCATCCCTGTGCAGCCCGGAGGGACTGGGGACTGCGACGTCGGAGAAAACCAGATCTTTCCATTGACCTCTGTATTGTCGGCCTGGGGCCATTCCGGACGATTAGGAGGGGGTGGCGCTACCTTATCTGGGTCGTGCAGGCTGGTGGTAGCCTCCTCCTCACCACCCCCCTTTCTAGGGCCGGGGAGCCGCGGTCACTTTTCATCTCCCTGTCCCAGTACCCTGCTCCCCCAGACAGGTTTGCGCACTCGTAGTGCGGGAGGACACACCGCTGCCTCGCACCCGGCTCCGGCTTCGGAATGAGACTGAGGGCGGGTTCTCCGGGAGGCCAGGGGGAGGAGGGCCAGCTGCCGGGGGCGGGGCGGTGGCCGAGGTGAAGGGCTGCGCCACGGGCTCCACTGCGCTCGCGGCTCCGAGGGGGCGGCTCTGGGGGAGTAGGGCGTGTCGGGGGCGTGTCGGGGCGTGGCTGCGGGGCAGGCGACCCTGGGCTGGGGCCCCAGTAGCTCAGGCTGAGCGCTGCGCACCCAGCCAGTGCTTCTGTCAAGCCGCTTCCTCCGCAGCCGCCCGGCTTACCGCCCTGCGGCGCCCGGCCCTTCCTCATGCTGGCACCCCCGGCCCCAGAGACCGAGGTCCCTATGTCCCAGGCGGAGGCCGACCTGGCCCTGCGGCCCCCGCCGCCTCTCGCCGCGGCGGGGCCCCCCCGCCTCGGGCCCCCTCGCCGGGCGCGCCGCTTCTCCGGGAAGGCTGAGCCCCGGCCGCGCTCCTCCCGTCTCAGCCGCCGCAGCTCAGTCGACTTGGGGCTGCTGAGCTCTTGGTCCCAGCCAGCCTCACCCGTTCTGGAGCCCCCTGCTCCTCCGGACTCCGCTGGTTCCGGCCCCGCAATGAGTCCACCGCCTACCTCTGAAGAGCCCACTGAGGGCACGTGGACCGCGGGCGCCCCGGTGAAGGCCGCAGACTCCGAGCGTCCGGAACTCGCGGGCTCCGCAGGAGGGTCGGGGCCCCGGGAACCGCCGAGGATCACCGAGGCGGCGGCCCGGGAGCGGCGGCGGGAGCAGGAGGAAAAGGAGGACACGGAGACTCAGGCTGTGGCAACGTCCCCGGACGGCCGATACCTGAAGTTTGACATCGAGATTGGACGTGGCTCGTTCAAGACGGTGTATCGAGGGCTGGACACCGACACCACGGTGGAGGTGGCCTGGTGTGAGCTGCAGGTGCGGCTGGGAGCCCCCTCGGTGACGCCAGGGGATGGGACCCTTTGGAGGTCTTGGGATGGGAGACCCAGGGGACAGCAGCAAGAGGGATGTATTTTTCCAGTCAAATATCCAGACACTCTTGTCTCCCTTGTTCTGATGATCCATGGACCTGGCTGATTCCTGGCTGCAGAAGGAGAAACTGAGGCAGGTGGTGTATGGTGGCTCCCCTATGGATTTAGACATTCTCACTTTACGGGCTCTGTACTCAACCCTGAGAGGTGGAAAATAGGATGGGAAATTGGGTAGGGAGCCAGTTCAGACCTGAGGGGTGGTTGGCCTCACCACTTTCCTGCAGTGGTTACCTACTATCTCTTCCCTTTCTCTCCCTTCCCCCTAAGTCCTGAGACCCTCAGTGTGACCCTGGTCCCCCTGCTCCCTCACCCTGGCTCTTTGCAGATTAGGAGGCTGGAATGATGGAGGCCAGCAGCTGAGGCAGGGTACTCTCCACTTCCAGATGACTTAGGGCTATTGTGGCAGAACCGGGCCCTCCCACGCCCCTTCTGAAGCAGTCAGATTTCTGGACTTCTCCACAGCTGGGGGCGGGGAGACAGAGAGCTCCAGCCCTGGCCTGAGTCCAGTCCTGCCCCTCATCCCGCTGCCTACCTGAGCTCTCCTTTCTCAGATCCAAAGGTGCTGAACCCCATAGGCTTTAGGGGTATGCTGGTTTGAAGGAGCTTCTTCCCATAGGGGAAGAACCCAGTTAAGTCTGAGCTAGCAGCTTTGGATTCAGACTGGGGGGACAGGGCCTGGGGGGAGGGTCCTCCCCTCCAGCCCTGGCACTGGGCTTGCCCCTTGCGCCTGCCAGTGCCGCGCCCCAGGCTCTAAGCCAGGCAAGGCAAGGCGGCCAAACTGGGGTGGGGGGGTGGTGGAGGAGGGAGATGGTGGAGGCGAGACAGCCATGGGGCAGGGGGCAGTCTCCTGGCACCTGGTCCTGGATCCTTTGTCTCTTTCTCTGTACCTCCCTCTGCAGCCCTCCTGCCTCCTGCCTGGATCTAGCAGTTCCCAGTTTCTGAGGCCAATCCCCTTGCCGGCCCCAATTCTCTGCCTGCCGTCTGCCTGCTGCCTGCCTGCTGCCTGCCTGCTGCCAGCCCCTGGGCATCCCCTCCCACCCCACGGCCGGCCTGGGCGGCTACAAAGGCGCTATTGACTTCAGGGCTCCTGGACAGGGCTGCATAAAAGCGCTTGTGTCCAGGAGGGGGTCCAGGGGGCGGCCCCAGGCCCATGGTGGGTGTGTCCTTGGAGCAGCCCAGGGGGGCACACTGGGAATTAGGGATCTACAGTCGGTGGACAAATGATCCCACCCACCCAGCCCCATCCGTTGGCTCCTACCCTCACTTCTCCCTCAGCCCTGCACCATGTGCTCCAATCCCCCCTCTCCGTGGGGGTCCTGGGCCTGATGTGACTGTGACCCCCACCCCCTACCCCACAGACTCGGAAACTGTCTCGAGCGGAGCGGCAGCGATTCTCGGAGGAGGTGGAGATGCTCAAGGGGCTGCAGCACCCCAACATCGTCCGCTTCTACGACTCGTGGAAGTCGGTGCTGAGGGGCCAGGTTTGCATCGTGCTGGTCACCGAACTCATGACCTCGGGCACGCTCAAGACGTGAGCTCTGCGCCTGGTGGTGGGAGTTGGTGGGAGGACTGGTGGTGGGAGGTCTCCACTGCTTCTGGAGGAGCCCAGCCTCCTCAAACGCTACACGCAGGTCCAAAACCAGGCTCACTATCTCTCATCCTCCTCTCTTGAGCGTCTGGAGGCCTCAGCTGCCCCCTAAGGAGTCTTCCCCCACGCTGCCTCTCTCCTCTGCAAGCTATCCTATCTTCCTGCAGCCTGCAGAGATCTGGCACTGTCACTTCTCTCCTTAAAACCCTTTCGAGTTTTCCCACTGCTCTCAGGATAAAGTCCACACTCTCTAAGGACTGCTCACAAAGTCCTTATAGGATCCAGCCTGCGTTCCAGACAAACCAAATTCCCAGCAGCTCCTCGCACCCTGCCCCATCACTTGCTGTCTCCGTGCCTTTGAGCACTGGTGTCTCTTCTGCCTGGAAAGTCTTCATCCCTTCCCATTTTCACCCTTGAACGCCTCTTCATCCTTCAAGACTCAACATAAAAGTTATTTCCTCTCTGAAGCCCTCCCCCACGCCCGGGGCAGTTAGTTATCCCTTCTGGCGCTTTCACAGCACCTTGGGGGCGGCCCTGTCTGTGCATTTACCGTCCGACCCCCGTTTTGTAACCTCCTGTCTACCTACCACACCCCCGACTGCGTTTCTGCTTGAGGACTGGCACGGATCTAGGCTAGGAGAGGCTGGCAAAAGATGCGTAGGCGGGGGAGTGGGTGGGGCTACTGGGAACTTCCCAGTGGTGGTCTCCCTCCCCAGCTTATACGTCCCCCACCAAGACCGTGGCTATGCGCCCTCCCCCAGATACCTGAGGCGGTTCCGCGAGATGAAGCCGCGAGTCCTTCAGCGCTGGAGCCGCCAAATCCTTCGGGGGCTCCATTTCCTACACTCTCGGGTACCCCCCATCCTGCACCGGGATCTCAAGTGTGACAACGTCTTTATCACGGGCCCTACAGGCTCCGTTAAGATTGGGGACCTGGGCCTGGCCACGCTCAAACGCGCCTCCTTCGCCAAGAGCGTCATCGGTGCGTCCCTCCCGGGGGTCCTTGCCATTCTTGCCATCCCCATGTCAGGAGAGAGCCTGGGGACCCCCTCCCCCTAGCAGTGTCTTTCGGGATCCACGGAGGTAGAAGACCACAGGGAAGATGGGGAGACCTATGCTATTCCCTCTTCCCCACACCCCTCCCCCAATCCCCCACCCTCACACACACAGGACGGGGAGGGGTCGGTCACTTGCACTCCAGAACTGCCTAGCCTCTTGTACGCTCAAGGGGAGGGACGAAGCCATAAAGGAGGCACTGCAGCCTGACACCTGCTGTGGATCCTACAGGGACCCCGGAGTTCATGGCCCCGGAGATGTACGAGGAAAAATACGATGAGGCCGTGGACGTGTACGCGTTTGGCATGTGCATGCTGGAGATGGCTACCTCGGAGTACCCTTACTCTGAGTGCCAGAATGCCGCGCAAATCTACCGCAAGGTCACTTCGGTGAGAGGGGGCAGGGAGGAGAGGGAATTACCGGTCCCCTTTACACTTCTCCTGCTCCAGCCACCTCGCGGTCAGTGCCCTTTCCCTTAATGAAAGCAGGCTGG